GACTCTTTTCATTCGTTCTGCCCCTTCATTATAGTGCCAGGTTTTGTTTCTTGGGTTTTTAGATGCCAAATAAAGTGAAGCAGGAGAGTATTGCCAAGAGTTTAATTATATTCTTCTGGCAAATGGTCATGGCTTGCTCTTTTAGAAGTCAAGCGTTCCTGGCTGCCGACTCTACAGTTTCAGTCAGCTGAGGGAAGTTTGGAACTGGTCTTATTTGTGCTAAACTGGGCAGAAGTGATACCACAGACCCAGGTTTGGGGGCAGGAGCTCACATAGATTTCAGGCACTGGCAGAGTCACCTTGTGGACTCCTAACCAGTTGGAAAATGTCAAATGACAAATGTACACCTTGCCTGATAGGGGTTAGTGAGCACTCTGTCTCAGGCCATTTTGCTGTATGGATGATAAGTACGTTTGCTTATCAAATCTTTCACATTTAGTGAACTATTTCTTACTGACAAATGAGTGAAAGTCAGGGAATGGGGTACCGTGTAAGTCAATATTTAATGATGAATATCATTCATGTTAATAACAAACTCAGGCTGTGAGAGCTACAAGCATGTATCCAAAACAAAGCCTCTGAAAAACGAGAGAGAAGTGTCTCTGTGTTGGGGGGGAATGCAGAAAGTTTTAAAAAAAAGCAAATAAAGGATGTTCGGCACAAACCAGTGGAGGACTATACAGGCTCAGTGGGACTGCAATGTAGAGTGACAGCTGGAAAAGAGAAATGGAATTAGGGAGAAGTGAAATGCCCTGCTTGGAGGAACTGGGTGTCTGGAATGTGGCTCAGACGGTCTCCTTTTAGGAAAAAACATACACTGGAAGATCGTCTGGGTAGGTCACACATTCTCCATAGAAATCTTATGAAACAGAGTTGGGGAAAATCACCTTTTTGGACTGTAGCTCCCCAAATCCCCCAACAAGGATGGCCACTAGCTGACTGGGAGATTCTGGGGTTGTGGTCAAAAAAAATAACTTTTCTAATCTCTGCTATCGGAGCAAGTCACCCACAGGTTCAGTTTTTTGGCTCTGGAAAAAAGGTGTAGAACTTCACAGGATGGCCCTGACTATACAAGACTTGAGAAAATAAGGGGGAATCAGATTGTTGTTATGTGCCATCAAGTTGGTCCTGACACAGGTTGTCCCTATGAATTTACAACCTGCCAAAGGTCCTTCTCAGATCTAGGAAACTAAAGATTTTACCTTCCTTGACTGAGACAAACCTTCTTATGTTAAGTTTTCCCCCTTTCCTACTGCCTTCCATTTTTTGTAGCATTACTGTGTTTTCCAGACCGTTGAATCATCTCATGATATGGTCAAATATGATAGTAACGAGTTTAGACATTTTGGCTTCTAGTGAGAGTTCAGGCTTGATTTGGTCCAGAAGTCACTTTATCTTTCTAGCACTTTATAATATGTGCAATGTTCTCTTCCAGCACTACATTTTATGTGCATCGTTTTTTAACAGTTCTTCATTGTCCAGTTTTTACAGCCATATGTAATAACTGGGAATGCCATATTATAAATAATCTTGATCTTTGATGATCTTGGCTACCCTTCCAAGTCTCAGTTTTTTTCTTACAGTCTCCATATTGGTTGATGATTGATAAAAGTTGCAGAAGATTTTCAACAATTTTTATCTCTTCCTCATCAACATCAAAGTTACATTTTTGCAGACCATTGTTTTTGCCTTCTTTAAATTCAGCTGTAATCCTGCATCGGTACTTTCTTCTTATACCTTCATTAGTAATTGTTTCAAGTCATTGCTGCTTCCTGACAGTAATATCTGGCAGAAAGCAGATTTTCATCTCTGCATTGTAAATGATCCATGCTTCTTCCATAAGTGTTCACTCCCTTTTCATCTGAACCTAATTTAGCACCAGCAGAATCCATAGTAAGCCGTTTGTACGTGTTGTCCAACATGAATGTAATTCTGTAAAGGAAGCATCTTTGTTTATTGGTAAAATAATTGAATGTTTTCCCCCGCAAGATATTTGCCCCATAGAAACTAGGTTTTACTGCCAGTGAATGGGAATTTGCATTAATGAGACATGCCCAGTTTGCATCTGCCCCTCCTCTTTGAGATAAAAAACTCCTTTGTATCTCAGTCTAATTTAGCTATGTTACTTTTTGGAAACCAGCAAATGGTATGTATGTAAATAAAAAATAAATGTGTATTGAGAGAGCTATTTAAAACATTAATTTAAGACTTTTGTCAAAATGCTAGTATTAAATTGTCAAGATGTGAAATTTTGTTGATGTAGAACATTAAAATAATTAAAGTAGGGTGTAGAAAAATGCAGCCCTGGAAATGTATGCTATACTTTTAACATGAGGTTTGAACATCAGTTTATTAAGAATAGCTGCAAAACAATCAGCCAGCTTTCTAGCCAAGTCTTCATGGTAGATTGTTCAGCATGGAGCTAAAATGAAGGAGAGAATTAAAAGTGTGTTGAAATAAGTAGAACATATTTATGTTGCAATATTAACATGTTGCAACATAAATATGTTCTACTTATTTCAACACACTTTTAATTAATATGCAAGCCCTATAACTTGCACCCTCTGCAACTACAATACCCTGGTTTTATACCTTGGTGTACCAGTTATTTTATGTTACAGGCCTTTAATCCTCCAGGCTTTGCAAAATTTTAGTCATAATAAGAATGGTTATTGTCATAGTGCCTTAGGCAGCTTGTCACAGTCCAAAGGAGGACATCTTGCTGGTAAATGCCAGCAAGGCTCCAAACAGAGAAAAGGTAGTGAGAACTTGCCGGATTCTGAGTTACAAGTCCTTGGACTTATAAGAGGTACAAAAACAACAGAGATTCCTTTTAAAAATGTTTCCTTGATGCATCAGGCCCTTATGAGTTGCAAGCCCTGAAGAAGAGAAAGAGCACCTGACTGAATACAATCCAGCAACTGTGTAGAAAACCTTTAGGGCTACGGTTATTCTAGTGCAAGAACTGCACTGGCTACCAGTCCATTTCTGGGCCCAATTCAGAGTGCTGGTGATTACCTATAAAGCCCTATACAGCTTGGGTCCAAGCTATCTGAAGGATCGTACCTCCCTACATGCGCCTTCTCGGCGATTAAGATCAGCAGAGGAGACCCTCCTCTCGGTCCCATTGCCAGCACAAGCACAGCTGATGGGGACAAGGGAGAGGGCCTTCTCAGTGGCAGCTCCCAGGCTATGGGATGCTCTCCCGCAGGACATCAGGGTGGTCCCTTCCCTTTTATCCTTCCGGAAAAAGCTAAAGACCCATCTCTTCAGGCAGGCTTTTAACAATTACAACTGAATCCCTGAACACCCTTTTAGCAGATAATTTTAATCTTTCTCATGTTTCCATGTTTTATTCTTTTAAGTTTATTTTAAATCTTATATTGTTTAATTTGTCTTTTAATATTTAACTTATTGTGTTTTAATTGTGTGAATGTTAATGCTGTGAGCCACCTTGGGTCCCTTTGTTGGGAGAAATGTTGCATACAAATAAAACTAAGAAATAATAAATAAAAATAAATAAAGAGAATTTTTGAAAGACACAATTCTATTATAGTCTGATGGCACAAACAGTTCAAGTAACTCCTCTTTCCCATAGCTGGGTATGGAGATCATGTGGAAATGTAATCCATAGACTGTTGTTCTATGGATATAGATCCATAGTGATATGTGTGGTTTTCATGGCATGATGAGGCTGTGAAAACCACACATGTCTATTTCTTCATGTCTATTTCACATGAATCAGATAAGAAATAAGCATATTCTGTAAGTATGACAATCACACGCAAACCTATTTTGGCACACCAAAATTCATTCATTCATTCATTCATTCATTCATTCATTCATTCATTCATTCATTCATTCATATCCCACCTTTCCTTTAAGGAGCTCAATGATACATATTTTTATTGATTGATTGATTGATTGATTGATTGCATTTATATGCCGCCCATCTAGACATAGTATACTCTGGGCGGCTCACAACTTAGGATAAAAACAATTTAAAATATACAGTTTTACATTAAAAAACAAAACAATATAAAATATAATATCATACATTTACGATTTTAACAGTTAATTAAATGTGGCTCTCTTCTTCCTCACTTCATCTCCATCATTTTATGAGGTAACTCTGTTTTAAGCTTCATGAGGAATGGAACACATATGTCTGAAGAAACCAGACCTACAGTCCACCCCATATCAATGAGTAGAGTCTGTCTCTGTCTAAGATCTGAACGAAGGGCCTTTCTGAGTAGGTGAAGACTTTTTCCAGCTGGGTATGTAAGCAGCTGAATCCAAAACCTGTCTATGTATTGCTCACGGTCTGCCACCAAGCTATGGTCCTTGTATCCCATAATGGGAAACTGCAGTTGGTAATGTGTGTCCCTACCAAGTGTACATAGTACAATGGATCTGTGTGCATGTATCCCTCAAAAAGTGCACTGTGTGTGGATAGATGTACAACTAGGTTTTTCCTCCTAACACACAAGTTAAAAAAAAAGCACAGCAGAATTTGGAGAAGTTACTCTTTTAGCCTACAACCTCAGCATTCCCAGACCAAGCATGGCCACTGGGAATTCTGGAAGCTGCAGACCAGAAAGTAAAATGTCCAAGCTTTGAAAAAGTGTTAAAAGCAAAAACAGCCCTAAGCAGCATCATTCCTTAAAGTCAGCATAATGAACAAGATTGATTTCCAAGGCTTTTGTACTTTACAGGGAATAAACTCAAATCTCTTAAGCCCTTATTTTTGGCATAGGCTGTACAGGGCTGGTGACTTTGAGGTGGAGAGAGCAGGGAGAAATATGGCAACATTCACAAAGGCTTTTTCATGCAATTGTTTCTGGTAAGCAACATTCTGGAACAAAAAAAGAACGCTAGATTTCTGAGCCAAGGGGAAGGATTGGGCAGATGTGTTTATGGCCTTGATGTGGCCTCTGTGGATTTATTGGATGAATTTGAGGAGCAGGGGGAAAAACTTTACACCTTCTTGTTTCCACCAGGTGAAGAGCGAAGGACCTAAACTTGTGCCCTTTTTCAAAGCCACTTGTGTCTACTTTGTCCTCTGGCTGCCAACCTCCAGCCCATGTTGGTTCAGTGCCCTCATCAAGTGTCTGCCTATCTTCTGTTTATGGGTGTTCCTGTTGGCCCATGGGATCAATTTCCTGATGGCCCATCGCAGCGCCTGCCGGATCTTTGCTGGCTTGATATTCTCGTCTATAGGAGATGCTTTTCTCATCTGGCAAGAACAAGGTTACTTTGTTCACGGTTAGTATGCATCCTGTTTTGAAGTGTGCATGGCGATATAATTTCAAAGCAGATGTTTAGGGGCATTCTTATTGTCTGCAATTAACCCATTTTGCTTCTGACAGTGCAATGGTCTCTGAGGTATACACCTTAGCAATCAGACTTGTAAATTAGGCCCCTGTTTATCTTCCAATCACCACAAAACAGAGACGCTATTTGAACAATTAGCAGGTGAGGAACATCACATCTCATCACTTGGGGGACCACTCTGAAAATATATGATAAATCTCTTGCCTTCAGGGTGCACACCGTGTGCTGTCAATGATTAAATGTGAAAGTAACACTGGTGTTTCCAAAGGAGGATGATTTTGTCTGGAGAATGACAATGTTTTAACAATGCTTGAGAGTTGTGTGACAGAGCGATCATGACGTAATCTATATGCCCTCTCATGTTCTTTTGACTTCCTGCCGTTTTGATAAGCAGGCTTCCAGGCCGTTTGAACCCAAAACCTTGCAAATCCTCTGAACGACAGAACTATTACACTCATCATAGAAGATATACTGTATATGGTTGTTGCTAAAATCAAACTGTTGATCTCATTATAGCACAAATTTTGCTAGAGTTTATGAGAGAAACAGAAAGAGAGATGTACAGGTATGTTGTTTGGGCTAGCAGACCTTTCTTTCCTGTTAACGTTTATTCCTGTCTAAAGACAATACAGTAGTGGAATGAGTGTGGACACTACAGGCAACAGCAGTCCGGTAGTATCATGTTCTGTTTCCTATATCTATGCACAACTGGCCCTCTCAAGTTGACACTGACAACACTTGGCAGGTAGGGGATCCTTAGTGCCTAGGTGCCCATAGAGCAGAGATAGGAAACGTTTTTCATCTCGGCTGCAGAGAATAAAAAATTACAATAGTTCTCACTACCTTTTCTCTGTTTGGAGCCTTGCTGGCATTTACCAGCAAGATGTCCTCCTTTGGACTGTGACAAGCTGCCTAAGGCACAGTGTGAATCAGTGAACAAGAGGAAAGAGTTCCTTCTCTGTCCTGTTACAGCTACCTGCTGCTTCACCTTAGTGTTAAAAAGACCTTATGGATTCTGAGATCAGCACAAGAGGTGGTGATGGTTATAAATCTTTTTGCTAGTACAGCAGCATTCTTTGAGCCCTTTCCAAAGCTGGGATCTGGTTTGGCAGGCTGTGCTAAGGCCAGAGAGTGAGAGCTCCATCCCAAGAAAGCAGGTAAGAAATGAATCCTTTTGCAGATTTCACACAGTACTATAAGCAGTTGCAGATCTCATAAATCACACCACCAGAGCTACAAAAAACGGCAATATTAGGAACAGCATCCATACTGTGCCGGTATTTAATAGCTACTTTGGTTTTTGGTTAAAATTTTTATTTGTCATATAATATAAGCAGTTGCAGATCTCATAAATCACACCACCAGAGCTACAAAAAACGGCAATATTAGGAACAGCATCCATACTGTGCTGGTATTTAACAGATACTTTGGTTTTTGGTTAAAATTTGTATTTGTCATATAATACCAGTCAATGTTTTTATAATTTTGGCTGCGCCTGGTGTTTAATAATGCTAATAATACTAAGCAGTATGTGGACCGAGAACTCCCAGAAGTACAAGCTGGATTCCGAAGAGGCAGAGGAACTCGAGACCAAATTGCTAACTTGCGCTGGATTATGGAGAAAGCCAGAGAGTTCCAGAAAAATATCTACTTCTGCTTCATTGACTATGCTAAAGCCTTTGACTGTGTGGATCACAACAAACTATGGCAAGTTCTTAAAGAAATGGGAGTGCCTGACCACTTTATCTGTCTCCTGAGAAACCTATATGTGGGACAGGAAGCAACAGTTAGAACTGGTCATGGAACAACTGAGTGGTTCAAAATTGGGAAAGGAGTACGGCAAGGCTGTATATTGTCCCCCAGCTTATTTAACTTATATGCAGAATACATCATGCGGAAGGCTGGACTGGAAGAAACCCAAGCCGGAATTAAGATTGCCGGAAGAAATATCAACAACCTCCGATATGCAGATGATACCACTCTGATGGCAGAAAGTGAGGAGAAATTAAAGAACCTTGTAATGAGAGTGAAAGAGGAGAGTGCAAAAAAACGGTCTGAAACTCAACATCAAAAAAACTAAGATCATGGCCACTGGTCCCATCACCTCCTGGGAAATAGAAGGGGAAGATATGGAGGCAGTGTCAAATTTTATCTTCCTGGGCTCCATGATCACTGCAGACGGAGACAGCAGCCCTGAAATTAAAAGACGCCTTCTTCTTGGGAGGAAAGCGATGACAAATCTGGACAGCATCGTGAAAAGCAGAGACATCACCTTGCCAACAAAAGTCCGAATAGTCAAAGCTATGGTTTTTCCTGTCATGATGTATGGAAGTGAGAGCTGGACCATAAAGAAAGCAGACCGCCGAAGAATTGATGCCTTTGAATTGTGGTGCTGGAGGAGACTCTTGAGAATCCCCTGGACTGCAAGGAGAACAAACCTATCAGTTCTAAAGGAAATCAACCCTGAATGCTCACTTGAAGGACAGATCCTGAAGCTGAGGCTCCAGTACTTTGGCCATCTAATGAGAAGAAAAGACTCCCTGGAAAAGACCCTGATGTTGGGAAAGGGTGATGGCAAGAGGAGAAGGGGACGACCGAGGATGAGATGGCTGGACAGTGTCTGCGAAGCAACCAACATGAACCTGACACAACTACGGGAGGCAGTAGAAGACAGGAGGGCCTGACGTGCTCTGGTCCATGGGGTCACGAAGAGTCGGACACGACTAAACGACGATACTGTACTGTAAACAATAACAATAATATACAGTAGTGACAAGGGTATGCAACAACAGCCAAATAAAATATTACAGGTGCAAAACAAATTACAGTAAAAATACACAGTAAAAACATAAAAAAATAAAAATGGAAACATGACAGTAGGTTGGATGTTACATTATTGAGGCAGTATGTTTTAAGATCCAAGAAGGCCTTTTTAAATAGTTTTTGAAGGGGGTTTTTTGGTTGTTGTTTTTTCAGACTCCGTTCAATAGTGCAATGGGGCTGCTGCCTGGAGGATACAGGCTGGCAGGCCAGTGAACCAGCCAGAGATAAAGTTACCCTTTTGATATAACTATGTGCAGTATGAAATGTGATGGTGGCAGTGTGAATGGATTGCCCTGGTTTCTTCCCAAAATGGCGCCTCCTCAGTTACCCAGTTCTGTCAACCTGATTTCAAATCAATAGAGAAGGCCTTATATCCTTTGGGTGGGATTTTGTTCAATGTTCCATCTCAGAAGTGTTGACACGTATTGAGGAAGCTGCCACAGCTAAGATCCCAAGTTCATTCATTCCCCTGAGTGCTCCCCTAAGTGATGAAAATTGGCTAAGAGGCAGAGACAAGATCGGAATCCAATAGGGGTGGGCAGAAATAATGAAAGCACCCGCTCCTTCCCTTGCTGTTCACCATTCCAAATTACATGCACGTGCGTAGTAGGAATAGGAGTAGGAATCATGAATAACAGGAGGAAGAGTACCACCGTATCAATTTACTTCTACACACACACACACACACACACACCCAGGTGGAAAACCCTTTGGCCCTCCAGATGTTTTGAACAGCAACTTTCACAACCCTTTTCCTATTGGCCATGCTAGGTGGCTCTGACGGAGGTTGTATATCAAAACAGAAGTTCCCACTTCTGGCTTCTATAACAACATCAATCTTCAGGACATTTTACAAAATACACAATGTTGTTTGGCTTATATCTCTGAAGATCATACTTCACACCTCTCACAGATGTGAAGAGTGCTCTCACTAGGAGCTCTACTCTTTTTCAATGCAGGTGCCATTCCTTCCATTCTCCTCGTGTTCCAGTCATTCCATAGTCTATGCCCACTCTGACCTGGTTTTTAGTTGTTTGTCTTCCCAACAGACATTCCATCTGCAGCCCCCATTGGACTGCCCCCCCACCCCACAGCACAGGTAGAATTTTGCCCCTAAACATTTTTTTTTTGTATTTTGCAAACCTGAAAGATATCTGGAGTTCTGGCCCTAGTGCATAGGAGGCATATTCTGGCTTTAGCAGCAATAGCCTTTGGAACTGAGTTTAGAAGACTATGTAATTGTTGCTGTTGTTGTTGTTGTTGTTGTTGTTGTTCTTTGCTCTGCACTGTTCTAAAATAACAGTTCTAATGTATGTTAGTGACCTTGTTCCCCATTCATTCATATTTTGCTAATTCTTCTTTTTCCAGGTTTGTTGATGTTTGCCGTCACACACATAATGTATTCCTCTGCATTTGGGATGAAGCCTTTAGACCTGAAAGCAGGCCTGGTGATGGCCCTGATGTCCAGTTTCTGCTACACCTTCCTGTACTGCTACCTCTCAGGCCCATTTACCTACTTAGTAGCTGTTTACGTAGCCTTGATTGGCTTCATGGGCTGGCGGGCTATGGCTGGCATGCAGCTGTGCAATGACCTTTGGACTTGGACCAAGCTCTCGGCATGCATTGGCTCTGTGCTCTTCATGGTGTCCGATCTGACCATTGCTCTCAACAAGTTCTGCTTTCCTGTGCCCTACTCGAGGGTCATCATCATGGCCACGTACTATGCCGCTCAGATGCTCATTGCACTTTCTGCTGTGGAGAGCAGGGATGACGAGGTCTTCAGGAAGCAGAAATAGACAAGAGATTTCAACTGACTCACACATTCTGCTGAGGATGCTGTAGCTGCATTCATTCATTCTTTCATCCCTCGAGGACATTTCTCACTCTTTAGGCGAATCCGTGATTGCAGATCTTCGCTTCCTCAAAGCATTTCCATTTAGTGATTAGCTGGTTTTCCTCCAGTCCATCTTGCTGGAGAGAGGAACCCACACTGGAAGTTTAGATTGGTCCTGCCGAACCTGCTGTCTGACCTTTTCTATCTTGGATGCTTTGGGAGGTCTCTTGACTACTTCATGGCATTTGAGTAACGCTGAGGTTGGTGCTGAACATTCCAGAATGAGAAGGCTCGTTTCAATACAATGTTGAAAAGGGGAGGACGGAGAGGACCTTGAGAATTCAGAGCCTTGCCTTCAACACTGAATGTTGCGAAAATCCTGTGAAACTGAGTCTCGGCATTCTCTGCTCGAGCCCTTGTTGTGTGCACACCGCAGTACAGTTGTGACATTGTGGTATGTCAATACAAGGAATCCTGGGGGCCTGAAGTGTCTGACAAGATGCAACAGCACTTACAAGAGTTGATGTGGAGAGGAAAGCTTGTGTTGGCCCTGGGAGAAAATAGTCTGAATTCCAGATTCATACAACCATTTATTTATAGGCCATTCGAAGCCTTTCTTCTGAATGTGAATCCTGTGGGGCATCTGTTGTTCTGCAGGCTTAAAAGCAACAACAAAATGCAACCGTCTTCTCAGGCGTGGGGGCGGGATGGGAAAGGGGAAATAGTGTTTTTTTAAAAAGCAGGTCATTGTATATAATTTATTGGCTTTTCAAGCAGACAATTTCCGACTTGCACAATCTCAGATTAAAGCATGAAAACATGGAAATAAAGAACAAACCAAGGGTCCTCAAAGTCTCAGTCACCAGCTGCTTTGCATCTAGATGGATGGGCCAAGGGAATGGCCTGCTTGTGGAATCAGCTGTTGTCGCTGTGTGAGAGTATGGGGAGACATCTTCTCCTTCCCACCAAACCTCCTTTTCAAATCTCTAATGAAGTCAGTATATTGGGAGGAGACCTTGTTGCCAGCAATGCATAGTTAAGGTCCACATACTCTGGATCACGAGCATTAGCAAGTTGTTGTTTTGACTAAGAACTTGGTGGGTTATCCGGGAACAATATTTATTGAAAAACGAGGCTGATGCTTCTATGTATTTGTGCATGCAGCATGTCCATATACCGGTCTCTAGGTACACATGCACATTAATATCCAGTTTGTTTCCACCACCTCTGACCAGAGCTCTAGAGTTTGCAGGTGCCTTCATGCCAACAGCTGCAAAGCGGGTCATGCCAACAGGTACAGCCTATCACCAAAGTGCTGAGAGTCTAATCAATACACCACTCTCCCAAGCCATTTTGTGCATTTCCACTGGTCAGCATTAAGTGGCTGCACCTTGAAGTGGGAGGGAAGTGTGGTTTGGAGAAGTTGCTGGCCAACCAATTCTCAGGGCAGTTTGGGTGTCACATGACAAAGTGGATTACTGGTAGATTGACCCGCCCTGCAGCAGTCTGTGTGGAGACCCCTGGGTGCATCCCTTCCTGGTTGTTCATGGGAGTTTGGGGTATAAATCTTTCTTATTAACCACTGTGTATTTGTATTGGTTTCAATCTCTTTATAATCAATTAAGTGGAGGACATTGCAGTATTTGTTTTCTTTTCCCCTGAATAATTGTGTCATGTAAAACCCCTCTGGATTCCCTCCCCTTTTGTGTTCTTTCATCAGATCTTCTCTTTCTGCTTAAAAAACCTAGCTTGTGTCGACAATAACCACTTTTTGTTCTTTTTCCTGCTTTTTTACTTACCTACAAAAACCCATAAAGAGAGAACTCTAAAAGTAGTAATTCTTAAGTCCATCTTGAAAGAAGCGCTCACCATATTCCAGGTACTTTGCATTCCTGTAAATATTTCCTCTAATAGGCAATCAATGAAAGGAACTCTGAAAGGTCCTATCTGTGCTGCAAACTTATATTGGTTTTATCTATAGCATTCATGGTTTCCCCCAAGGAACCATGGGGCACATACGTAAGTTGATGAGATGCTGAGAATTCTCCAGTGCAGATACCTAGCTCCCATCTCTCCCTGGAACTGGATTTTCCAGGATGTCTGGGAATGACTGTTACGCTCACTGTTCAGGGAGATTATTCCCAGAGCAATTCAAAATCAACCCAGTCTGAAAACATAGACATAAAAAAGACATACAACCTGAAAAAAGGTAATAAGTAAATAAATGAATAAAAATGAAGAGCTAGATTCGTAGCTGTTATCTATGACTCTATGTGCTCAAGGGTGTGGGCATCTATACTGAAAACTGATTTATGTCTAGCTTACTCTATAAGCTAGGGTGGAAAACTGATTCAGTTTTAAACTAGAAGTGCCAATAAGGATCATGACGGTGCTTAACTTTAGCGTCCCCCCCTTTCTGAATCTGAAAGTATTGAGACTATAAGCTGCTCCATTAACTGTCCAAGTAGGCAAGCAAAGGGAGACATGGAGGGGAGTAGGGGCCCCAGTTCACAAGCCTGTCTGGCATCCTCTTGGGCTTTCCCTTACACACATACTCTAACACAAGTCCTAGTAGTCTTTCCATGCTATACGGCTAGTGTTTAAGATGGGCTCCATTCTTATCCCGAACCCTATCAGAAGAAACAACAGCAACAGCTCCATAGTTGGCATGCCATCACCCAGGCTTAAATTGATTTGTCATGTTTGTGGGTAATCACATGGATGCAATTTAATCTGTAGAAGGTTTTGCATTAGGGTGGTCTATTGGGCTCACTCAGCAGTGGAAAAGGTTTGGTCTGGATTGTTTGCATTATGTGATGAGACTTATAAAGTTAAAAGAAAGACTAAGTGTTTACTAATCAAAGAAAGGTTTTTCCCCTGTCTGGCAGTATTGTCTTCTGAATTGTCTGGGTTTGTGATCTGAGCTTTGAATATTTTTATACCTAAATTTAAACCACTTTTGAGGCTCTCTCATACCGACTGTTGCTAATGTAAAAGATATAAGACAGAAGAAGCATTTGATATGCAAATAGGTGTTCTGGACCAATGTTAAGTTTTACTTTTTCCATTGCAATACAAAGCACTTTATATGAATAAAACACCTGGGTAGTCTTTGTATGACCTTTGCCCTTTAATGGGCCTTATGGATTGGAGCAGTATGTATTCACAATAAGAGACTGTCTTGATACTAATTCTATTTTATATTTTTAGTTTACTTTTTAAAGTGTCTTACATGCTATTCCAGGCATTCTCAACCTCTTTTTGGCCACAACCATAAACACAATGTAAAAGAAATATAGGCCGAATCAAGTTGCATAATAAACCTTATAAGGTGATTTATGAGGAACTGTTTCCAGCCTGTGGCCCCCTTCAAATGTGCTGGGGGCCTTTAGAAGGCCAGATGGTCCTTGTTGAGAATGGCTGGTCTAGACATTGACACTGGGGACATAAAATTTAAAACAATAATAGAACTAAACCTCAAAAAGAATCTAACCCAGCCCTTGTTACTTCAAGAAATATCCAGAGTTTGGAAAGTTGCTTTTAAAAAGTAACTATTAACCATTATCTTTCAAAGATCTCTGCTGCATATTTATTTAAATTTATGGCTATAATTTTAAAAAGTAATTTACTTTCATATGTCTCACAAGTAACTATCAGTTACTTCTAAAAATACCTAGATACTAGAAGCTGCCAGCCTGCAGCATGAAACATAGTCTTCTCACACCACTTCTCACCCACTGTCATCTTTGCACTCAGAGAAGAGCACAAGACAGGGGCATGAGCCAGCACTTGAACTAGACCAGGCTTGTCAAACCCGTGGCCCGAGGGCCTCATGCGGCCCAGGTCAGCTCGTAATGCGGCCCAGTGCAATTTTTTATTTTTAAAGAAATTCCAAAGTTTCAAGTTACACTGCCGGCGCTTGCAGCCGGAATGTGGCTGGGGCATGTCACAACAGTAGAGGGGGAGAAAGGGAAGGAAGGAGTGGGAGGGGAGGGGACAGGGGGGCTGCGTGACTGTATTGCGCCGTCCCCGTCAATAGGTGGATCCCCTCCCGGCCCCATAAAGCCGCCGGAGTCAAAGCTGGCAGCCTCTGCTGTCTGAGATCGCAGCTACCAGTAAGTGCGCTTGGAGCGGGGCTGCAGAGGCCGGCTAGGGCTGCCCCCCCATGTGGCCCAAACCAAATGTATGTGCGTCCCAAACCAAATTTTCATCTTCTAATGTGGCCCAGGGAAGGTGAAAGGTTGGACACCCCTGAACTAGACCATAGTTTTCTCTAGTTTACTCTAGCCGCCTAGAGTGGCCTTTTAGGCCAGATGGGCGGGGTATAAATCAAATAAATAAATAAATTGTTAAATAAATAGTTAGTGAAGCCAAAACACTACAACTCTTAGTCATGAAAAAGGTATAGTTACACAAGAAAAGGAACCAATTCTCCCCAGTTCATAATTGTAACGCAATAGGGTTACACATTTATTCTTGAGAATAAGAATTACATACAAGGCATGGGTGTCCATCGAATGCAAGAGAGGTGCTTCCTCCTCCGTTGATGTAGATAGACATTTCCTCTCATCTGTGCCAGTCATAAATGCCAAATTAAAACACCACAAATGGACACTATAGTGGCTCTTTGACTTTCTCCTTGATTGCCTCCTAGCTAATACCACTTACTTCTTTTATCCGGATGTCAGGCAGATTTCATACTCCTCACTTTCCCTATAGTCACTGAGAGAAAGAGGCATGGCTTCCCTTAGAAGACTCGCCAGCAGCCCTTTCGTTTAAATGCACCTTTTGTATTGTAGTGAATACCAATTCCACATAATGGAACCAACGACCTGTTTTTCCCATTTCAGGCCACCATAATTAGACAAGCCTCTGCATAGCTGCCATTTCTTCTGCATGCTTTGTGGTTTCATCTGGAGGTCTGGTTCCCAAGGATATATTGTCTGTAAAGAAAACAGGAAGTTGTAACTTAAAATGGCTCCTAGGAATGGTTTATCTGCTCTTCAGTTCCTTAGTAAAAACTTTTTTTTTAAATAAAATTTAGTTGTTCTGCATTTGTGGGAAAAGAAAGGAGACATATAGGGTTTATGTTGCTTGAATGGTGGATCAAAAACTGAAATTTGGAGAAAAATAATGGGAAATCAGAAAAGTATTGACAGTGGGGTTTTTTTTGTACTTTTGCTGTGTCTGTTGTACACTTTGGTCGCTTCCAGATAAAACAATAGCTTTTCTGCCGTTGTGCAGCTATTTTGTCTTTTTTAGTTTAACAGATTTTCTCAAGTAAGAACACCAGACAGAATAAACTATGAGCTACCAACTGGAAATGATGTTGTTTGGACCTCTGTTAAATTACCACGAATGGGGCAAAGTGAGTACTCAGTAAAAGCCATGTTTGGAAGCATCCTGCATACGGCACAGAACTATACCCTCAAAGAAGTGCAATCAGTCATTGCAAGGAGCATCTCCCCTGGGGACAATCTCTTATAAATCTAAACAGGCAATGGTATGTAAACAAATGCCCTTTGCTTCTATTTAAAAAACCCAAACCCCTTGCATTTGCAGTATTAAATTTGTTAAAAATAGTTTTTAACTTGAATTATGATACCATGGACTGGGGGGGATGGGGGGGAGGAATGATAGTTAATACAAAGGTTTCGAACAGCTGCTTTACTAGCTGTTGAATTTTTGCTGTTTCTCTTGGCAGCCAGAGCCCGGATAAAGTGAAACAGGTTGGGAAAAGAGGGAAATTCTTTAATATACAATAAATATTATCAGTAGTGTTGGAAAAGACCAATGGGCCTGAATGAAAGGCTTGGTTTAAAATAACACTAAAGATGCATAATCTCTCAGTTTTAATGCTGTTGCATAATGTTATCAGCATTTCATTCATGTGAGAAATTCTATGTCCGGTTAGGGTGAAATGGCAGTAAGAGGATTTAGCATTTTGGTGTCTTCCTCTATCTATCGTGCTTATCTGCTGGCCCCACCATGAACTTCACCTTGCTGTCGAGCTGTCGGGTGCCCCCTGCAATCCTGTGCCTGCAGTTTTTGCAGATGTCCTCCTAGTCTGGAATAAATGCTCACATTTGGTGCTTTCCCCTCCCAGGTTAGGTGCATGGGTAGCAAGGAAGTTAGGAAGCTGCTTGTGAAGATTGCTGTGTCTTACTTAAATATGCTTTGCAAGTTATCATTCTCTTGAAATGACTTGGAAAAGCAATTTGCTGGTAGCAGATGGCGAGTTCAAATGAGCTGTCACTGTACAGTCCCTGAGTAATTCATTGAAAGAAAGGCACTTCATTTTAAAAGCACACATGCATTGGCATGTGCGCACTTACATATAGATTTCTCAGATAGTCTCCCATATGTGCTGTTGTTTTATTTCCACATAATAGATTACTGTTGAGTCATTGATAAGCATTCAGAGCATTCATTTGCTTTGAGTAAAAATTTTGGTTGATGATTCTTTTTTTTCCTTCTTGGAAGAAAGTCCTAAATAAAAGACTTGTTTTTGCACATTACTTAATTTGTCTGCAAGGTTTCATCTTCCATTGGCCCAGATGCATTTCCTGCATCTTTAGAGATGTTATTGGGTACATTTGTTTGACAAAAAATTGATTAGGGTTTTAGCTATTTTAAATAAGCTCTCACCTTTTAAAGCCAAGGATTTTAAGTCAGATGGGTCATTATTTTGAAGTATCTTGCTATTTTCCCTCATTTACCTGCTGCAGAGCTGAAATAAATGAGTGACCATTTTTCTCCTAGCTCAATTTTGTCACCATGGTTTCAACACTCATCCTTTACTCCTGACATTACTAGCTATAGATAGTCTTGGATTTGGGTTTCATGGAGAACAGTGCACAAATATTCACTATGTGATTCATTCCATTTTGGTCCTAACATTTAGTAAACAAAAACTTAATATTATTCCAAAAGCCAGTTTCTGAATGCAGAGTGACATCCTTTATTTAGCCCTATAGGATGTGCAAATGGCAGTCTTCACTGCCAAATACACACTATCAAGTGGT